AGTCCTGGCTATACACTGGGTAACCCTGGCTATACACTGGGTAACCCTGGTTATACACTGGCTAGCCCTGGTTATACACTGGGTAGCCCTGGTGTTACACTGGCTAGCTCTGGTTATACACTGTAGCCCTGGTTATACACTGTGTAGCCCTGGTTATACACTGGATAGCCCTGGTTATACACTGGCTAGCCCTGGTTATACACTGGGCAGCCCTGGTTATAAACTGGGCAATCCTGACTATACACTGGGCAGTCCTGACTATACACTGGCTAGCCCTGGTTATAAACTGGATAGCCCTGGTTATAAACTGGCTAGCCCTAGTTATACACTGGCTAGCCCTGGTTATACACTGGCTAGCCCTGGTTATACACTGGGTAGCCCTGGTTATACACTGGGTAGCCCTGGTTATACACTGGATAGCCCTGGTTATACACTGGGTAGCCATGGTGTTACACTGGCTAGCCCTGGTTATACACTGTAGCCCTGGTTATGCACTGTGTAGCCCTGGTTATACACTGGATAGCCCTGGTGTTACACTGGATAGCCCTGGTGTTACACTGGATAGCCCTGGTGTTACACTGGGTAGCCCTGGTTATACACTGGGTAGCCCTGGTGTTACACTGGGTACCCCTGGTTATACACTGGATAGCCCTGGTTATACACTGGGTAGCCCTGGTTATACACTGGGTAGCCCTGGTTATACACTGGATAGCCCTGATTATACACTGGATAGCCCTGATTATACACTGGGTACCCCTGGTTATACACTGGATAGCCCAGGTTATACACTGGATAGCCCTGGTTATACACTGAGTAGCCCTGATTATACACTGGGTACCCCTGGTTATACATTGGATACCCCTGGTTATACACTGGGTAGCCCTGGTTATACACTGGGTAGCCCTGGTTATACACCGAGTAGCCCTGATTATACAATGGGTAGCCCTGGTTATACACTGGGTGGCCCTGGTTATACACTGGGTACCCCTGGTTATACACTGGATAGCCCTGATTATACACTGGGTACCCCTGGTTATACACTGGATACCCCTGGTTATACACTGGATAGCCCTGATTATACTGGGTAGCCCTGGTTATACACTGGGTGGCCCTGGTTATACACTGGGTACCCCTGGTTATACACTGGATAGCCCTGATTATACACTGGGTACCCCTGGTTATACACTGGATACCCCTGGTTATACACTGGATAGCCCTGATTATACACTGGGTACCCCTGGTTATACACTGGATAGCCCTGGTTATACACTGGATAGCCCTGGTTATACACTGAGTAGCCCTGATTATATACTGGGTAGCCCTGGTTATACACTGGGTACCCCTGGTTATACACTGGGTAGCCCTGATTATACACTGGTACCCCTGGTTATACACTGGGTATATATATCACCTATACTGTACTT